CAAACATATGTATGTTACAATTTTACATTTTAAATTACCACGCCATGGATTTTGTGACAATGGCTAAGGATGCAATGGTCCCATCCCCCTGATATAAGCAGAGTTTGGTCTGCAACGTACAGCATTTCAGTGAGATACCAAACAAACCCTTAACACATAACACATAAAAAGATCTTTAAAAATCAGATTAACACAATGCTCTTCGGGTTATACAAAGAACGGGAAAGTGGAAAAATAAGACATTAGGGATGCTTTTAATGGATAGTGTCTTGAGATCTTGAAAGTTTCATTCCCTTACTCTAAGGGCAAAAAAAATTTTTTTAACTAATGGAAAAAAGAAAGCAACATCATAACACCCTACAATGAGGAAAAACACTTATCCTTACAATGCTTAGATGCTTCCATATAATAAATACAGCAGGTAGCAGAGCAAAAGCAGGAGGTTCTTAACCTAAAGAAGTTGTGGATAGAATTCTTGGAGCCTGTGAACTAGAATGGGAAAAAAATTACATCTGTAGTTTTGTGAACGCTAACTAAAATTTAGCATTTTCTTCAATTATGAATATAGGCAACGAAGCACAAAAATATTGGCAGTAACTGTGATCCTGTCACCAAACAAAATCAGACATTTTCATATCACATAATTGTTTTGCAGATATCTAATATATTGTTTATGTTCATCGCCACTATGAAATTTGAAATTAGACTCACTGAAAGTTTATTAGTTAATGCTTAAAGAAGCACATACTTTGCAATATGCCATGGCACAAAAATGACTTCTCCCTTAAAGAGAAGGGCGTTTTGCCCCTTATCCTTTCACTCTTGCTACTGGCTGCCACAGAGAACTACTAGAGAGTCATTTTGGATATACCAGCGAGGGCTGCACGACTCAGATAGTAGAATGACCAGACTGAGAGGGCCTAAGTCTCTGGGATCTTCATGCAATCTGAGACTGCTTACACCCAAATGGCTATGTGACAGAGGGATGTTTACCTTGTTTACAGCACTGTGACTTTGTGTCTTTATTTGAGCAGCTGAATTTATATCCTTATTAACATAATAGCAGTTACCACATTTTATGATTACATATTTATTTGTGATGATTTGGGGGTAAATATCTTTACTACTAAAGAATAAGCTCTTTGAGGACATGAAGCATGTCTATTTGCTCACTCTGGAATTCGGGCAACTGCTACCGTGTAGGAACAGAGTAAACTTCCAATAAATGTTTTAAAATAAATGAAATAATAGCATAATAAATGTTTATAACCATGTTTGGCTATTCAAATAATATTGTACAGGCAATATTTAAAAACAAGCAAAAAGCTTGTTCAAAAAAGGTTAGAGCTAATACCAAAATATAAACAGTAACTGTCTGAATTACTGGTTTTAGCATGATTTTTCCCCTACATACATATGTATACTTTATATACTTTAATTGTATATATATAGACATATATATATATTCTTTAATGATTACATATATATCATTAAAGGAAATCTGGAAAATATAGGCAAATGTGTGTGTGTGTGTATAAAATGAAAAATATGTTACAAAACAAAATGGACTAAGAAGTCAGTTGATCCCTGAGGGCCTTGGAGAAGGAGGAGAAAGTATGTGAAGTAGTCTTATTCTGGGAGATTTAACCAGCTGTGATCTGGTGTAGACCCTCTCAGACCGTTTAGATGCTCAAGGTGTCATGTAAAAGCCAAAATGCCCGACTGACTCTTAACATAAGGAAAGAAACTCACTTCTTGATGAGAGGGGGAGCAATATTCTGGAACAATAAGGCATAATTCTTTAAAATATAGCAATCGGGCGCCTGGGTGGCTCAGTCGTTAAGCGTCTGCCTTCGGCTCAGGTCATGATCCCAGGGTCCTGGGATCGAGTCCCACATCGGGCTCCCTGCTTGGCGGGAAGCCTGCTTCTCCCTCTCCCACTCCCCCTGCTTGTGTTCCTGCTCTCGCTATCTCTCTCTCTGTCAAATAAATAAATAAAAATCTTTAAAAATAAAAAATTAAAAAAATAAAATAAAATATAGCAATCAACCATAGGACAATTTTTATTGGGCTAAAGCTTGGAAAGAAGTGTTCTTATATTTCATCCATAATTACACAGATGGCACAGTTATAATCACCATATACTCAAAAAGGCTATAGTGAGCAAATGCCAGGGCTAAAGGCCAAGTTAACAAATTGTGCTCTGTGGTCATTTATTTGTAAATGTTAATTCTGGGGTTAAGCATTGAGCTTCTGCCTTGATTGTAACCTTGACTGAATAAAAGTATATGCATACTTCAAGTATATTGGTTTTGATACAAAGTAATTAAACTAAGGAAATATTTTATGTGCTCATAATTCTAAAAAAATAAATTTCAAGATTAGCAAATAATAGATGTTCTTATAAATGTTAGTTGGTGGCAGGGTGTTATCCATAGCATAACTTTAAAAGTCCTTAATTTTTCCTCTATTGCCATTATTTGGAATTCTGCCTTAAGGTTTATATATCTATAGGCTCATAGTATGTATTACTTAGATTTGCATTAATTTGTGATTACTAGAAAAATGGTATTTTTCAATACAGACTGACTGACTTGGAGATAAGGAAACAAATGAAGTATGTCCATCAGAAAGATGTGAAACTAGGTACTGGGAATAAAATGGAAGAGAAGTTAATAATATCTAATGGTAGTTGTTAAACAACAATTTTTAACAAGATTATATAACCACAACTCTCATACAGATATAAAATGATCACATGTCAAAAATTTCATTTAAAGGGCACCTAGCTGGCTCAGTCAGTAGGGCATGAGACTCTTGATCTTGGGGTTGTGAGTTCGAGCCCCATGTTGGGTGCAGAGATTACTTAAAAATCTTTTTTTTTTTTTAAGATTTATTTGTTTAGGGGCGTCTGGGTGGCTCAGTCATTAAGCATCTGTCTTCGGCTCAGGTCATGATCCCAGGGTCCTGGGATCCAGCCCCGCATCGGGCTCCCTGCTTGGCCGGGAGCCTGCTTCTCCCTCTCCCACTCACCCTGCTTGTGTTCCCTCTCTCTCTGTGTCTCTCCCTGTCAAATAAATAAATAAAATCTTAAAAAAAAAAAAAGATGTATTTATTTATTTGAGAGGGGAGAGAGAGAGCGAGCATGAGTGGGAGGGGCAGAGGGAGAGGGAGAGAGAATCTCAAGCAGATGTCATGCTCAGTGTGGAGCCTGATGCAGGGCTCGATCTCACAACCCTGAGATCATGACCTGAACCGAAACCAAGAGTCAGATGCTTAACCGACTGTGCCACCGAGGAGCCCCAAAAATAAAATCTTAAAAGTTTTTTTTCATTTAACTCATTAATTAATGTGGGAACCAGTAAGATGTTGTAACCAATTCAAAGAAGTAATCAAAGTACCATACTATATAGGCAGTTAGGAATGCTTAAGTAAATCTGCTTAACAGACACAAAACTGGTCAATATCCATAGAACAATAATCAACAGTGAACATAATTTGCATATTTATGGACAAGAATTATTTGCATTATTGTCAATATCCTGCAACTTACGGAATTGTAAACTAGCTCAAAGATGATGAAAGGCACAAAGACCCCACAGAATCAAATAACCTGAACAATGTCTAGCTTCCCACTGGGACACCCAGCAATCTTTTTGCTCCTTTTAGTTTTTTAGAGAGAGGGAGAGAGAGCACATGGGGGGCCAAGGGACAGAGGGAAAGGGAGAGAGAGAATCTGAAGCAGGCTCCACACTCAGCATGGAGCCCAATGCAGGGCTCTATCTCACAACCCTGAGATCATGACCTGAGCTAAAATCAAGAGTTGGACACCTAATGGACTGAGCCACCAAAACACCCCTTTTTGCTCCTTTTAAACAGTCTTTTGTAATATTTTCCCTACATAGCTGACTTGTGTTAAGTGCTGTTTATGGGCCAGACACTGCCTAGGTGCCTTAAATGCATTAGCTTATTTAATTCTCATAAGAATCTTATGAAGTAGGATTTATTATTATTTCCATTTCGTAGGGAAGGAATCTGAGGCACAAGATAAGGTAAATCTGTCACCCAAGGTCACAGAGATAGGAAGTGGAGCCAGGATCTGAGTCCAGGTTTCTCATCAGCTATGAAGCCATGGATGTGAATATGAAGAAAAAAAATTAATGGACCTGACCAACTATACTACATTAGATATAGAAGAAGGAAAAGGGAAGAATGACTCCAAAGTGTTTCCTCTGGTTGTGAGAGGGGGAATACTGTTCAGATAAATAAAGAGACTAAGAAGGGCAGTAATTTGATTTGGTTTTTAGACAGGTAGACTTTGAAGTAATGGCAAGATGTCTAGATGGAAAAGTCTTGCTGGGCAGGAGATCAGAACTGGAGATGTAGATGAGTGATTTTTTTTTTTTTTTTTTTACTTTTATGGATCAGGTTTAAATTGTGGTACAGAAAACACTAGTGTGTGTCTGTCACAACTAAAGGACAGAAGCCCAGAGGGAAAAGAGAACATTATGCAGGAGGGACTGAGGTCCTGCACAGGCTCTCAGGGAGTAAAACTAACGCGGGGTAAACTGGCTAGAGTTCGTAGGTCCAGGCAACAGGGAACACTCCTTCGGGTTTAAGGAGGTGGAGTCACAAATGCAAACAGCTAGGGTTGAGGCTGAAAAGTAAACAGAGGCCATATCATGGAGGGGCGTTATCCAATCCACAGTAAAGATTGTCAAGCAAGCAAGGATCATGATGAGATGTACACTTTAGAAAGAACCAGTCTGGTTACCGCATGAAGAGTCCGGGCAAATCTGCAGGCAGGTATCACTGGGATTCAGATGTAGGCAGGGATGGCTTGGACCAGGGCAGGTCTTGGCAACTAGACCCTAATATTCTAATATTTGAAAGGCTGCGGGCAAGAGTACCAAAGAAGGCTCACATACCACGTGATAAATACTTAAGAGTTTTAAGTTAAGCTAGTAAACTGTCAAACAACATATCCTCTATCCTCCTACCTCGATAAATGCATTTTCAGAAGGACCTGGAAGGAAGGCGGAGAGCCGGGGCGGGGTCCGCCGGATTTAGGCGGGGTGTTTCTGGAACCCAAGAGGCAGAAGAGCGCGGCGCCGGCCCAGCTGCAGAGGACCACAGCGACACCTGGCTCCCCGCGGAGCTGCGACCCCGGCCGCCTGCCCGCTGCCGAGAGCGGGGCGGGCGGACCTGCGGAGGCGTGGCGGGGTCGGAGGGCACGCGGCGTCGGTGTCATGGCGGCGTCCGTGCTGGGCTCCGCCTGCGGTCCGCTGAGGCTCGGCGTTGCCGGCCTGTGCCGCCGCCGGCCGCCCCGGGGCCGGGGGGCGCGCGCGCGGCGGCTCGCGGGGCCCGCAGGGTCCGGGCGGAGCGTGGCCGCGGCCAGCGGATCGGGCGCCTCGGGCGCCGACCGCTACTGCATGGAGCTGCTGCGGTGAGCGAGCGGCCCGAGGGGGCCGGGAGGGCGCGGCGCGACTCGGGGCCGGCGGGGGCGAGCGGACCATTGCCTTGCTGCGCTCCGGCTGGCGGGGAGTGAGGCCGCGGGAACTTTCACGCCGGTCGCAGAATTGTGGCAAAACTCCTTTGTCTGTCACCTTGACCGAAACTTAAGTTTTACCTAGTTAAACGTACTGCATGCACACCTTTTAAAAATTTGACAGACGACTAGTAATTTTTAGCTAAGTGAGTTCTTACTATGTCAGGCACTAACTATGCTAAGGACAAGTAATTTACTTACTCTTCGTTACAAATTGTGACGCACAAATGTAGACCTACCAGTTAGGGTTGTGAGGATTAAAGCGTTTAGAACAATGCCTGGCACAAAGCAAGGGCACAGTGAGTACAGTATAAGCCATTATCATCATATGTAATGGATGAGGATACGAAGGTTTCTAGAGATTAGGGAATTTACCTGAGATCAGTAGAATAGTCTCATAAAGTCAAGGCCTGATGACAATTTTGCTCACCCTGGTAACACCAGAAAGGCTTGGCACATGGCAGTCGCTGTTAATCGTGTGTGCAGTCGAGTTAGATGAATCAGGTCACCAGGTGACCAGTGGATCTGGGCAGGCTCCAGCCTTGGAATTGGGCCTGACTGCAAAGACCAGGGGCTCAGGCCCTGCTGCCCTTCTGCTGCCTTTGATTTATAACAGTGGTGAAATGCTCAAAGTACCTGGTCTTAACTTCTAAGAAGTGCGAGGATCATTAAGCTACCTAGGATTTGATTGGGCTAATAAATCCAATTTTTTTTGAATTTCACTGTAGCACAGTGTAGCGTAACAAAACAGAATTCCCAAGCATTTCAGAATTTTGCTTTTAATCACTTTTAAAAATAATGCTCCTGCCCCACTCTATTTGTTGATTACTTATAACTGAAACAAGATAACAATCGTGGAAATCAGAGCAATAAGAGCTTGTAAAAGCCAAAACTGCTAAAAAGTTATATTCATTTTTATATATTTTAAAGTTACCATTTTTTGATGATAAAAAGACACAAGTTACCAAAATGTTTACCACCCATATCCACTTGTCTAGTGCAATTTTTGACACCTGTAGTGGCCTACCTTCCCTATCCAGAGGTGAATAATCACTCTTCCTTCTTTTTTTTTCTTTTTAAGATTTTATATATATATATATATTTTTTTTTTTTTTAAAGATTTTTTATTTATTTATTTGAGAGAGAGAATGAGATGGAGAGAGCATGAGATGGGGGAGGGTCAGAGGGAGAAGCAGACTCCCTGCCGAGCAGGGAGCCCGATGCGGGACTCGATCCCGGGACTCCAGGATCACGACCTGAGCCGAAGGCAGTCGCCTAACCAACTGAGCCACCCAGGCGCCCCAAGATTTTATATATTTTATTTGAGAGAGAGAGTGAGCGAGAGAAAGAGCATGAGGAGGTGAGGAGCAGAGGGAGGGGAGAAGCAGACTCCCTGGTCAGTGCTGGGACTCCAGAATCATGACCTGAGCTGAAGGCGGACGCTTAACTGACTGAGCCACCCAGGCACCCTCACTCTTCCTAATTTCTTATGTATTATTATATGTAAGTAATAGTATGATCATTGTATTACATGTATATATTACTATATATATGTAGTATATATACTACATGTGTTACATATATTACTACATATATGTAGTATATATTTCTACATATATAGTGTGTATATATATACTACATATATATAGTGTGTATATAAAATGATCATACTGTTCTAGGGTATCACATGACAGTTTTCTCAAATATATATTTACAAATGGGCAGATATTTAATTTGTCCATATAGGTATTTGAGTGGAATGGACGCTTTTGACTCTAGGGATTTATTAAAAAGCCTGGATTTTGCAGGCAGACCTGATCTGAGTTTATTAATCCTAGGTCCATCGCTTGGAAAAGTTACTCACAGTAAGATTCAGCTATTTCCTCATTTGTAAATTTCTACTCCTACTTTATAGCCTGGTTATGAGGATTAAATGCAACGATGTATATAAAAATGCTGGCATATAACATATGCACAGTAGTAGTTTTTATTTTTTTATTTTTATTATTTTTTATTATTATGTTAATCACCATACATTACATCATTAGTTTTTGATGTAGTGTTCCATGATTCATTGTTTGCTGTAGTAGTTTTTAAATAAAAACCAAAATTTGTTTTTGTTTAGAAAGATTTTATTTTTTTAAAGATTTTATGTATTTATTTATTTGAGAGACAGAGAATGAGAGAGAGAGAGAAGAGAGAGAGCACATGAGAGGGGGTAGGGTCAGAGGGAGAGGCAGACTCCCCGCTGAGCAGGGAGCCCGATGCGGGACTCGATCCAGGGATTCCAGGATCATGACCTGAGTCGAAGGCAGTTGCTTAACCAACTGAGCTGCCCAGGTGCCCCTAGAAAGATTTTAGGAAGAATTTAGAAAGATTACAATTTCTAGCTTCTGATTGTCCATTAATCTTTGCAGGATTTGGCCTCTGAAATGATCTGGGCAGGGTTGTTTTGGACATGTATCTTATGTAAGGCCTCCAAATACTGAAAAAGATACCAGGCCAGAAGTTCAGGTTAGCCAGGCAGAGCTCTGCTGGGAGGCTAGGTTCCTGGGACTATCTCAAACCTAATTTACATAGGTTTCTTGGGGGTATGGTTTTGAGGAACCCCAAGGCTGCCTCAGGCCTTGGGATTAGCGCTATAAGGAGGCAAGGAGGTGCTAATGGTGATGTCTGAAAGTGTACCCGTTCTCCATTCTCCCACAGCCACACTGGGGAACCCCTTTTTTGTGCCTTGATGGCACAGCCCGTGGAACTAGAACTAGCACAGCAATCCTAGCACCAGATGTGCTTATTTTTCATATATCTGCCTCTCTCTACCAGACTGAAATCTGTACCTTAGTGTCTAGCACACTGCTGGTGCATAGTGGGCACTGGATAAATGTTACAGTGAATGAATGAATGAATGAAAGGTTTTTGGCCCTGTTGCTGTATAAAACCATCATAGTATGGAATTTCTCACGATCTGGAACAGTTCTCCAATAACTGGACCTTGTTTGGCTACTTAAGATACCCTTGTCTACCAAGAATTGGTATTTATAACAATGATCCTGAGTGATGAAGAAATGGTTAAATATTCAGTATATATATATTTTTAAAGATTTTATTTATTTATTTGAGAGAGAGAATGAGAGAGAGCACATGAGAGGGGGGAGGGTCAGAGGGAGAAGCAGACTCCCCGCCGAGCAGGGAGCCCGATGCGGGACTCGATCCAGGGACTCCAGGATCATGACCTGAGCTGAAGGCAGTCGCCCAACCAACTGAGCCACCCAGGCGCCCAATATTCAGTATATTTTACTTAGTGTAAAGAGGTTGGTAATATTGTTTAGAAAAATTTCCAGGCAAAATTTTAAAAATTTTAAATTAAAATTAAAAAAAAAAAACTTTACAGGGAAACCCTTCTCTGTAGAGTATCTTACTTCCCAAAGGTGGTTACCATACTAGTGTATTTCCCTGTAAGAAACCTGAAGTACGTCACATATTGATTATTTTTAGGAGATATGAAACAGGGTATCAAGCCTCATTTTGCAAATTAGGAAATAGATGTGTCAGGTATCATTTCTGTCAACTACTTGAATGGAAACTAAGATTGTAGTCTTGATTCCGAGTCACTATTTTCTCACTGTTTCATATTAACATCCTAGTGTTTTAAACAGTTTTGAAATTCAGAGACTTTTATATTAAAATTTAAAATACATCTATATGTATTTAAAAGTAGAAATTATAGAGCTGTTTTGCCCACACTGTCCATTTTGTAGCTGCAACCACTTATGGTGAGATTTTTTTAGTAGAGCTATTTTGTGATAGCAGGGTTACTTGTCATTATTGCTTCCTTTTGTTTATGTGGAAGTTGGAGGAAATTGTGAAGGGTGCGACTAGAAGAGGTTTAAGTTCTCTGTTAGGCAGACAACAAAATGTAACCAGTTGAGGGGTGCCTGGGTGGTTTAGTCAGTTGAGCGTCCAACTCTTGAATTCAGCTCAGGTGGTGATCTCAGGGTGGTGAGATTAAGTCCCAAGTCGGGCTCTGCACTGAGAATGGAGCCTGCTTGGGATTCTCTCTCTCTCCCTCTGCCCCTCCCTCCTGCTCACATTCTTTCTCTCTCTCTCAAAAAACAAAATTAAATTAAACTGAAAAAAAAAGGTCAACCAGTTGAAATGTGGGAGTAATCTGAATTTCAGTAGCTAAACTCCATGGAAGGAGGTTGGACCCCCTTTATTTAGATTACTGTTTTATAGGAAATAATGTTATATTAAAGTTCCAATGTATTATAGTGAAAGTAGCCTTGTCGATAGGCAGTCATCCTATGATGTATATAATAAGGATTATATCGTTTTAAACTTTTTATTTTGAAGTAATTTCAAATTGATAGAAATTACAGATAATACACAGAGCTCCAATATACTTTTCATCCAAATTCCCTCATTGTTAACATTCTGAGCCATTTGAGAATAAGATGTAGACATGATGCCCCATTCCCTCCCCTTAATATGTTGGTGTGTATTTTTTTTAAGATTTATTTATTTATTTAGAGTGAGCAAGTGAGAGAGAGAGAGTGCACGTGTGAGTGGGGGAGAGGGAGAGAGAGAATCTCAAGCTGACTTCCTGCCAAGTGCA